AATGTAACGGAGTAAATGTAACTCGTTGCTACCCACCTCTGCTGACGTGTAGTGTTTTCCATTGCAGTACCCAAACACCTTCTTAAAGATTGTGGCATCTTAATCTTAAATATAGAAAGCATCTTTTCAGCTTTCCCTTTTTCTAAGAAAATATGACCCTGTTTATTAGACTGTCTTCTATGGTCACAGTCATAAACTTACCTATGGAAAGAAGTACTGAAAAAGGATTTATGATGTTTAAACAGCGACCCAGACAGAATGAGTGTGACTGGTTGGTACACAACAGGCTGTTGTGCCCACCATTCATTCTCCTTTGACCGCATTAAGTCTGTTTCCTCAGTCTGTCACTGCTGAAATCCATCTGGTGCATCGACCCCCTCAAGCTGAATGCACAAATATGCACACAGGCACTCACTCACACACACACACACACACACACACACACACACACACACTCATACTCATACTCATCCTCATTCATGTACACAGTGGATTTAGGTGTGTGCACGGTTGTTACTCCTCCCAGCCTGTGGTTGCGCGTTTATCGCTCAGTGTAGGGCGCAGTGAATGTCGGTTGAAATGACAGGAAATGGCTGAAGCAACATGTCAGCCATCTATCTTGAATGGCTCAATGGCTCAGGCAATGGTTGTTCCTATTCCTGTTTTATTTACCATATTATCTATACTATCGGCTGTATATAGTCAACTATAGTGTAGAATTTAACCTCTTTTGATGTTGAATTCTTGGGGTTTTCTTTTGGACCACTTATGAATATCTATTTCACTATGTGAAATACCATGAAACAGTAGAATTCTAGGTTTTTCACATGGTTTTATGCCACCAGTGACTTACTTTAAACCGCAGTGTTTGGATTCTGCTCTAGTCAACAAGATATAAATGACAATTACTCTCAGCTCAAGTTCCGATTATTGGCTCTTTCTGAGCTTTCAGCTGCATCTTATGGTCTTATATAGACATTAACTTGTAGTCCCAACATTAGATGGGACCACACACAATGTTTGATTATTTAACCACGTTGTTGAATATGTGTTCTAACATTCCTAGTGGCATTGCACCCTGGACGTTGAACTGTCCTGAATCTACTTCATGTTTGCCTTTCACACAGGTGGGTTCATGTGCTGTGTGCCATCACTGTGCTGGAAGCTCGCTTTGTCAACATCACTGAGCGGTGCCCCGTTGACCTCTCTGCAATCCCGCTGCCACGGTTCAAACTGGTAAGACTCCTTGCGGTTACAGTCTGCTGTAGGTTTGATCCAACGGCAGTGATTTAGATATAGGACATCTGCTGTGTAGCCTTGAGGAGGAAGGTCATACTTGTTGATTTGATGTGCCAGAATGCTGAAATTGAAATTTACTTGTGCTGCCTGTTTCTCTCATTCAAAACTGTACTTTAATATGAATATCCACTGACAATACAGTAAATCGCTCTAGTGTTTTTGCAAATAGGGCTTTTTTCAGCTCACCGCCACTCTGAACTCCTCTATCCGCCTACAGGAGTCTTATGTTATACCCTACCTCATGTTTTAATCCCTTTCTCCGTTATCTGTGATGTGAAAACATCAGATTTCCACGCAGAAAGAAAAAAACGTGCATTTTGCTCAAAATTCAGTTATAAAAATCTCACATGCCGGGCTCCTGACAGTGCTGTCAGCTGAAGAGTCACAGTGTATGGCAGTAGAGGGGGGTTGTACACTGCCAAACACTTTTGACCCATACACAGATTCTGTTCTTGGCAGTGTTTATTTTCTTAACAGAAGTGTTACTCTGTTTCCTGAGCAGGGACTACAGATGTAAATTAGCTTATAGCTAACTCTGGTACAGCAAAGCAGCTGTACCACTGTTCCTGTCAATTAAATAAATGTACTTCTCATTGAGCACAAACTTTACCATAGTGAAACTGATGTTGCCCTTACTCAATTTCACTTCTTGTTATCACCCTTGGATTTTTTGAATGAATAGGCTGCGTAACATTCTGACCACATTTGATGGTCATAGTACACAACAATAATCAAGTTCTTCTCTAGAAAAGAATGTGAAAGGCCGACAGTATATGTTTACTTTGTGTCCTGTGTATGAGTCATGTGTTGGAAAATACACAGGTCTTCATTGTTATAGGTCTTGTTCTCAAAGGATCCATTCTCAATGCATCTTCTTCTAAATAAATACATATGATGTCAGAACCTCATTAAGTAAATAATAAAAAGGAAGTTGTGTAATTTCCTCCTCACATATTTGTGTTCCAGTTCGTGTCTGGGTCTGCGTGTCTTTTGCTCCCTTTGATAACCTTTTTATCTTTATCCCCTCCCCATTTGGCTGGTTTCCTTTCTCCTCCTTTCCTTCCCCTGTACTTCCTCTGCTTTAACCTGTCTCTCATAACTTTTCCTCCTGACCCCTACTCCACCCCTCCACACTTGTGTCTGTGTCACTCTGGTAGAAGTGTGCACACTGCAGGAAACGGATGAAGAGGGAGGTGAAGGGCTGCTGTGTCCAGTGCTCCCACGGGCGCTGCTCCACAGCTTTTCACCCCACCTGCGCACAAGCAGCTGGTATCCTCATGCACCCAGATGACTGGCCGTTCATAGTCTTCATCACCTGCCACAGACACAGAGCACCCCTTATACCTGAGGTAACATGACAGAAACATAGTTAGATTTAAGGTCACTCAGTTACATACATTATCTTCTGAAGCTGTGTTTACATTATTGGCTTTTGAGATTTAAAAAAAAAAATATGTGTGAGAAAAAAGGGTCAACTAGATCATTTATTGTAAGAAGAAACAAAAAGCCGGTCATGTGATACACACTCACTTGTTGTTTGTGTCTAATCTCACTGTTTAGCTTGGATTATCTTATTTAGTTGAAAATTCCCTACCGAAAGGACTCCACATGCACTGTTGGTTGGTTTTGAGAACTAACATGCATGTTGTGGGGAAAAAAACAAGTTTACTATATTTCTGCTTTTTAGAGAGCCTTTGTCTACCAAAAACTTTTTTTGACAGCTTGGGGTTAGGGTGCTGTTATCATATTGTACATTATTAATGTTGCATCTTAACACGGCTCACTAAAGGTTTTCTCAGTTCCTCATTGTAAAGAACCTTTCCTTCCATGGAATGGAAGGTGACGTAATGTGCAGTCCCAAACATAATGCCAACAAATACTCCCACTGTTCTGATAATATCACTTTTCTTGCTGTTTGTGTTCACTGAATCATTTTTACTGCTGTAATAAGAACTGCATTGTCATTTGTTTTTGTGCTTTTCAGAATCTGACTTGTTGACTTGTATTATTTCCAGCCACATTTTATGTTGAATAGAAATATTATTTTCTATTTCATAAGATGGATAAGGAGGTGCTAAGATGCCGCCCATGTATTTGTAGATTATTGACAAAGAGTGCATTTGTGAAGACCGTCTAATTAGCCTTGCATCTTAGCTTCCAGCTCTGGTGAAGTCAGCCGTGCAGCACAAAAATAGCTGGGAGACTTTTTTTTTTTCTAAGCTCTCAAAGCTACCCGAGGGATTTTTACTATTGTACATGTTCATGCTGCTTTGATTCACTAATTGGGAGAGACTGACATCGGTTGGTTCCTCTCAGCAACAATTCAGCAACAAAATGAATGCAGATAGAATTCCTGTGATGGTTATGTCTCTTACTGGTATTGAGCTATGTGACTACAAGTCTGGGCTTGTTAGACCAGTACAGTTGAGTATTTGCTTATGATGACGCAGAGAGCAGTATAATTTCTTAGGTACATCTATTTTCCAAATATTGTTTCAGTTGATTCATCTTTTCTGAGCTATTTGTATAGATGTGTGCTGTTTGTTGCACTACAACCACCCATCTCTCCTGTGACTGTTATTGCTGTGGAGTGATAAGCTTTGAAGCCTAACATACAGTTTCTGTTCCCTAGCGCAACAAGGCCTCCATGCGAGAGCTGGCAGTGGGCCAGAGGGTGATCTGTAAACACAAAAACAGCCGTTATTACCACAGCGAGGTGGTGGAACTGACTACAGCCACTTTCTACGAGGTTGTGTTCGACGACGGGTCATACAGCGACAACCTCTTCCCAGAGGACATTGAGGTTTAGAATTGCTTCTAATCTAATGATTTACTCTGTCAAATGAAAATACATCAAGGAGTGAAGTGTAGTTACACACACACACAGACAGATATGAGTTTATATAATGCAAGTTTCCTGTTTAGTATCCTTGTCTAATACATAGCCAGAGTTCACCATTTGCTTTTCTTTTCAGAACCGTGACTGTGTCCGGCTCGGTCCACCCGCAGCAGGTGATGCTGTTCAAGTACGATGGACAGATGGGTTGATCTATGGAGCCAAGTTTGTAACGTCACACTCCATCCCCATGTACCTGGTAAACCTCCCCTCACCCGTCTCTTCTCTTTCTGTGTCACTGACACTGACATCTACTGCAAATGGCTTAGTCATCAGTGGATGTTGGGTTATGTTCTTCAACCTCAAAAACATTGGGCGGTCTGTGTGGTTAACAGTAAAAATGTCAGGACACATTAAAAATAGATGAGCTTGCTCATCAATATGTGATATCTTAAAAGTGAAGTGCGTTTACGTGGTTGGAGGAACTATGCAGTTTCTCCTCTAATTATGTCGGTGGTCTGTGGACTGAAATAATATAACTGCCTGCATATTGTTGTTTTACGACCCAGTTTAACACTCGTATAAAGTGATGCTTTGCAGCAAGTTAGTAAAGCGCTTAAATTGCCATGTAAAAGTAAGTGTGTCTGCGTTTGTGCATCCAATCAGGTGGAGTTTGAAGATGGATCACAAATCTCCGTCAAGCGAGAAGACATCTACACTCTAGACGAGGATCTGCCTAAACGAGTCAAGTCACGAATGGTAAAAATCTCCCATTTTATCAAAAAGGTCTCTGAAGCTTTTATGCTAAGTAAAGGTGCTGCTAAGTTTGACTTATAGCCTAACTAATTGTGTGTTGGAGATATTTTCTCTCCAACAAACACTAATTTTGATTTCCGGTGTTTTTGGTCCTCAGTCTGTGGCGTCCGATATGCGCTTCGAGCTCTTCACGCAGAATGACGTCAAACAGAACTCCAAAAGGCAACGAGTCATTAACTCTCGATACAGAGAGGACTACATTGAGCCTGTCATCTACCGAGCCATCATGGAGTGACATCCGGTTCCACCTATCTCTCCTCCTCATTCACCACCTTATCACCACGGAGAGATGCAGCTCCAGGTCTTCGTTTCTCGGTCTGGCTTCTCTGTTTCTGCTACTGCTGATAGGAACCTCCTCTTCCTCCTCCTCCTCCTCCTCCTCCTCGTCTTCCTCCTCCCTGTCAGGCCTAGCATATTTATCAAACTACGCTGGGACTTTAAATTAGCTTTTGTGTGCATTGAATAGATATTTACTTAGACCTCTGTTTTTCTTCGACCACTCTGTGGTGGTTCTTCATCCTTCCATCTCTTTTTTTTTTTTTTTTTTTCTCAGGAAGAAGCCATCAGTTAATTATTAAATATGGAAAAGGTTGGACTATCTAACTGGGACAATATGTTTGTTTTCTACCACCACATTTAGCAGCTGTCAAGTAAAAATAACTTTACATATTATACAACGGACAGTTTTTCTACTTTAGTGATATTTCTTCTATAAATGAGCTTTTCTCTCTTGACGTTATTTTCATAATAATTTATCATAATAATATTTTGCATTGAAGGAAATCATGCTTGTGAATGAGGTTTTTAAAGAAAACATTATCTTCAGTCAGTTCTTTCCCTCATGAAGTTAAACAGAGGCCCAACTGTAAGCTTTGAGCTTGATCATCTTGATCAGATGTTGACTACGAGAACAATTTGACTCCTCAGTTTGGTTAATGGAGTTGTTACCCCAAAGAAATGAAATAATGTGTCACAGTCATTTTTCGACACATTTTCAGATTGAACTTGTCACTCCATGCATTGCATCACATGGTTCATGAGTATCTCTGCTCATCGTTGTGTCAACGTGCATCTACTGTGAAGATAAAAGAAAACTAGACATGTTTTAGGGGCCCAAGCCTTACATTTCAAAGGGCCAAGCATACTTTGGTTTTCCTAAAGCTTAAGGTTTATTATAACTATTGTAATTAATGTTATTATTACACTTTATTTATGCAAGTGCATTGAGTTTGAGAAGAAAGCTATTTTTGTCATGTCCTTTTCACAATCTGTAGAAAACTTCAGATGTATTTATATTTATTATATTGATAGGTTTTCAGACATCCTGTTTCAAGTTTAAGGCTTTCCTGTATTGGGGTTGGAAGGTGTGAATGCCAATCTGGCAAGTCCCTCTAAGCAAAAAGCACTTACTGTTACCTCCTGCCACGGGACATTTACTGTTTTGTAGACACATGGCTTCCACTGAGTTTAGATTTTTTATGTTTCTGATAAAAGCTAGCTCTAGAAATGAACATTGGAACCAGGTTATAGTTTGATCCCAAATAAACAAAAAAGTGGTTCGAGGACAATTTTTACACACGCAAGTTTTCTTTCATGTTGAGAGTTCCTTGTATCTGCTTTGAAATCGTTTCGTGTAGAGAGTTACGAAAGGAGGACGTGGTGCAGACTCCTTTTTAGCTATGTCCATTTCATGGCTTGTGTTGTCTTTTTGGTTTTCATGTCCAAGGCAACATTACATCTGTACATTCTTTGTAAACATCAGCTGTTTGAGTAAAGTTTGGAGTAAAACAAAATAACCTTGTTCAACTTACTTCCTACAACAACTGCACGTAGAAGTGAAAGTGCTGAGATTTAGGCAGAACCAGTACAGTTTTGCAGAGATTTATTTTTTTTTCTTCCCGTCATGTGTTTTTGAGCTGCTGGTGTTGGATGTCTCAGCCAGAGGGCCTGCAGCTGTGTCAAAGCAGTATGAGTCTTGTGAGGTGGAGACCGCTGCTGGAATTAGATTGATGGCTCCTTACTCTTGGATCATTGCACTTAAAAACCTCTAAGGTCTTCAGGTCGATAGACAAGCCAGATTTTTCACTTCATAATTTATAATAGCTATACTAGTCTAACTTGGTAGTTACCTGGCATATCACCTCCAGCCCTTTTGCTCAGGTATCTTGTGGTTGTTGACTGAAAACAGGCAATGACGTCTACAGTTAATCATCTTCCATCAACTTCAGTGTGCCAAAAAACTTGTGTAAAACTGAAGGGAGGTTACCCACAAGCAAAGTATGTGTATGAGCTGTAGGTAAGCAGCTTTTTAAAATTCTATTGAACCTTCAATGAAATGTCTCTGGGAAATTTTTGTACTACCTCAGATTTAATTCAAAGAAATGCCCTGGGAGTACAATTACAGTTCTCTCGACGTAAAACCCCGTTAAAGTGTAGTGTAGACTGGTTGGATGTCGGCTGGTAGTGACAAATGAATACCAACTTCCTGCCATGTTGCCCTCACTGTTATTTCCTCCAAACCACCATACAAAGAAAACCCTCGCTCACACACACACACACACACACACACACACAGACTGTCAGTAAACCACCTGCAGCAGAGGCCTTTTCTGAGAGTAACAGCTTTTTCTGTGCCCTGTCACCATCCACGACTGCACAAGATCATTTGTCTGCCAACAGATGCTGTTGATGGTATTGAATCAACATGCATCCATCCCGTGAGCCTCTGCCAGGTGTGGGGAAATTAATCATAACATGTACAATGTTGTAAATGCTATAAAAGTGAAGATTACACATCTGCGTTTTGGTAAAAATATATATATATATATATAATCTGAACACACCTCTTTGGAGGTTGTAGAAAGGATTTACAAATGATTATTATTATTTAAGATATAAACTTTAAAAAATCTGTTATAATAATATATTATCATAATATATATATTCACAGAGCCTTCACTCTGATAAACAGCCCTGTCCTACAGTGAAGTATGTAAACAACTGAAAAGATAATAGAACAATTAGAAGAAAACAGTCAATTGGTCAAAAAAAATTGCGTATTAATTATGTATGTATGTCTGTGTGTGAGTGTGAGCGAGATTTTCCAACATTAAAAATGATTATGTATTATATTGAAAAAGAAATGGTAAAAAGTTATTATGATAAAAAAAATTACCAATATTGGATGTCAAAAATGTATATATTTGGTCATAAAAGACAGTTTCAGTGTTCCAGTTTTCATGCTTTTGATAAAGGTTATCTTTTTTAGTTTGAAAGTGTTTCACAGAGAGTGTAATGGATTTTTCATTTTGGATACAAACCAAAATTACAACGCTACTGACTCAACGCTAAATGCTGAAATATTTAATTTGCTGCCTTGCTCTGCTATTATATTCCATCACCAGCGGCTGTTTTCAATGAGTCCGTGGGAGCTAAAATTAAATGAAAGAGCTACTGTGTGGTTAAGTACTACTCAACAAATATGATGCACTGAAGTGGATCATTACAAGGAACAATGTGATTTTTATGTGGGGTTATAGATAGGGGCGTATCAAGACCGAACACACTGAGGTCATGTGAATTCATCTCAGAGTTGTGCCGGTTTCCTAAAGCCTGTTCAATTTGACTCGTAGCTCAGCTCAGATGACAGTGTGCTGTTTTATTGTAAAATAACAGCAACAAAATACTTCTATCAAAAGAAAACATGAGGCATCTCAACTGTAAGTATTCATAAAGTGTTTATCTGCTCGCATCTGCCCTACATTTGAGGTTGGAGAAATGTAATAATCTAATCTGGCACTAGTCCTGTGTGCTACTTGCACCGATACCAGACAAAGTTAGGGAATAGATACACAGTGGATCATAGCTGCTACAGAGCCTGTGCCAGATGTTTGCCTCAAGAGTTGGTCAGAACCAAAAAAGAGTGAATATAGTGAATATTGGACTTACATTCATCAGGAGGCTAGACACACAACTCAACGATCACCGAATTAACTTAAAAGGTCTGTCAGTGCTCTTTTTACAGGTTGTTTCTGATGCTCTATAAAATCCTTTTAAAGCAGTGACTGGCATTGATGCAAAAGTAGTTTTTGTCATACAGACATGGAAACATGAACATGCAAGCAAATGGCTCACTTATTGTTTTCATACCAGCGCTCTATCTCTCAGCATGCCTCCATATTTAAACTCTCACACCATCATTCACCCTTCTCTGTGACCCAGCAGCTGTGGCTCCCTCAAGTTCTTGTGTTAGTAGGGTATTATTGTCTGCAGCCGCCTCAGACCAGTCACATGGTAGTCAAGTGACAGAGCTCAGGTTACTTTGTACTATTGATGTCTGATTTTCAGACCAATAGTTCACTGAGCTTGTTTCCCAAAAACAACGGTAGTAAAAATAGAAAAACCAAAGATATTGGTGTCTTTGTTTTTGTTTTTTTGTTGTTTATGGTATTCCTGCGTTATTGATCAGTATTCAGCATCAGTCATGTAACTCACGACAACAGAAAGCTTCAGTATGACAGTGAGAGTGTGCAAAGGTACTAAAGATAACCAAAAGCTTTGACCTTTATGCAGTAACCATTTATTATTTAAGAGGATCATATCAGTTAATTCCTGAAGGGGCCCCTTTTCTATCAGTAAGTAAACTGACAACTCCTGACTAAGTCACATATTTTATAAATATTTCATGTTATATTCAATCCATAACAATAATAGTAGAGAACAACTGATGAACAGTGCAATCAACCCCAAATAGTGAACACAATAACTACAGGACTGTTTCCTGTAAGCGTCAGAGATGAGTTTTCCTAATAAAAATTTGATTTGGGAACTTTTTATAATTCAATGTTTGACCCAAAAGGCCCTGTCTAGAGTCAGTGTTGGTTTGTCCATTCTGAGCTACTGTAGAAACATGGCGGTTCAACATGGTGGACTCCATTAAAGAGGACCGCTCCCTCTGTGGATAAACATGGCTCATTCTAACAAAATGCAATGATTCTTATTTTCAGATGTTGAATATTATACACTATTTCGGCCAATAGATGCAGTCAACGATTGTAACTTGTCCTGTAAGCATGTATAACTTGTGTATAGACAGTTAATAAATGATAACACTGTAACATAGCTGTAATTATGATCAGTGATATTTGAAAACACAAATAAACACATTGTTACAGTGTGTTATGAAGCATTCAATAACCAGGTTTTCCCACTGTTTATAAATCTGTTCATAACTCATGAAGACATATCAAGCTTGAAAGTTTGCTCTTGAAAACCACAGTGTGACGAACAAACAATCTTAACTCAAAGCCCACTTATAGCAGGTCCTCTGGAGTTTCCAGCCACATCACATGGCTGATAGAGTTTGCTCAGTTTCAATTCATAATTTATATGATTGTGTTAT